GAGAGGAGAGAGAGAGAGAGAGAGAGAGAGAGAGAGAGAGAGAGAGAGAGAGATTTGTTTTGGAAACATCGACTATGTCGTTGTAAAATGAACCAACGTGTATACAGGTATGCGCGCGCGCAACGCGCACCAGGTGGTCGTCGGTGGTGATGGTATACTTTTAGCCTGGTGGGCGGCTGGCTGCGAGGGGTGGTTTTATCGACCCAGGATACGCGAATCTTGAAAAGGTTCAGTAGTCGCGGAACCACCACCCCGTCGGAACAGCTTTTGCTAAGCGCCTTATACGCGAACGCTTCTATAAGGGTGCTCCCGTTTTTCTCTCTTTCTCTCTCTCTCTCTCTCTCTCTCTCCCTCTCTCTTTCTTCCTTATCTCTCCCCTTTTTCTCTTTCTCCGTTTTTTCTCGGTGCCGTTCTTCGAGGTTTTCTGTTTACTCGCTCGCGCGAAATATTTCGCGACGGTTGCGACGAAAATACGACGCGAGCCGAAGAGGAGGTGCCATATTTTCGCATACGAGCGATCCTGGACGCAGCTGCACGAAGTAAGTGAAACTACGACACCAAGAGTGCGGGTAAATGGCGAATTTTATTTCTCGTGCGTGTAAATACTCTTTCCGGAATATGTCTTTTTTGCGTTTAACATCGCTTATACATATACATATACATATAACTGGATATGTCGGCTCCTACAATGATACGAAACATAACCGAAAGGTAAATTGTCATAAATGTGCAAGTCTTCTAATTACGCGTTACAAAGTGGATCTTTTTTTGATTTTGTGTCGAAATTAAGTTTCAATTAGTTTCAATTAGCAAGAAAATGTTCACGCCTGGAAAAACATTTGTGTGCGCTTGCTCGATCCGTCATCTTTTCGTTCGTTTCTTCAGGATGAACAAATATGGGGCAATCGGAGTTACCGTGGATACGTTTCCCTTTCCTTTTTCTTACGTTTATCATCGTATTCGATGTAATTATAATTATAATTCTAGTTTTTAATTGTAATTATGATTTATTTAATAGTAGTTTATTATTTATCTAGTTAGTTTATTCATAATTCGTACCTTTTGGCTTTGAATGACTATTATTTATTTACATTTATAATAGAATCAGCGTGGAATTTTGATTTGACGGATTTAGAAGGTGCTACTTTTAAGTTTTACTTGGGGACGGAGTCTTGATATAGAACTGGTTTGGCGGTTGAACACTTATAAGCGAAGCGTAAAATTTTCCCTTGGATGTTAAATGTGCAATGGTGACCCATTTATCGATTTTCTGAGATTTTAATGTATGCGACGAGTCGTTCGCGTTTACCTTAAGACTTAAGGCAGAAAAGCGAAAACGGGAACGAGAAGAACAATTACCAAGTTTAATAAAAAAACAAAAATTGAGAAAATCAAGAATCCTCTGCGTGCGAGGATTTAATGCATCTCTTAAACCAAGCTGTCGTGGACAGATCCGGATTACACATATATACGTATATACATCGACTCGAGGGGATGCGTCCGAGTGGAATATTTGTCATCTGTCATGTCCATGACAGTCGACAAATATTGACACGTCCGCCGCTCTGACTTGTGCGCTTCGTACCTTACTCTCGCACATCCAGCGTGCACGTCTCGCCGGAGCTATAATGAAATCGCGATAGGTAGGAACAGAACGTAGGAACGTACGCCGCGCGCGCAGCGTCCATATGGCGTGCAGTAACCTCGATTATCGGAAACTGTTATAGCTATATTTTTCTGGAACGCAGCCAAACGGAATATCAACGATGAACGGCGCACGGCCCAAGGTAAAGTAGTGGCGAGTCAATGCACGAGAAGTATAAGTTGTTGCCATAAATTAATCTCCCCTTTCCCTAGCTTCTCTTCTTCCACCCCCTCCGCCGTTTTTCGGAAAAAGCTCGATCGACGGATTGGTCACCGGTTTGTCGATTGCTAAATTAAATCTCACCGTGAAATGTCATCGCGAACGCGAGAATCGCCGTCGCAAAGAAGAAACAAGAACGTGTATTTTTCTTCCTTCGAATTTACTTGAAATAAAATCGGTGCTGTCTTGGCCGCTGCCCAACCAGAATGGCCCGCATGTTGGTACCTCCCAGGGTGAACCACCTCGGATGCGGCGTGATGCAGCCCTGGCTCGAGCCAAATATCATAGAGATATATGCGCGTGCGTTCCTTTAAAAAAGAGGTATTCGGAGAGAATATCTTAACAAATTCGTGAGCGAGATTGAGCGATATCAAACGGAATCGCACGGATTTACAAAGACATTCGGGATATCCTTTCCTCCTCGCCTGCTATACCCCTTCAAGATTCTGGCAGGAATCCAGGGTACGAGATAGCGCGGTAATACTAGTTGCACATTCGCGTGGCGCCTATAACTCGGCTTATGCTTTATACGGCGCACGTGGAGTTGCAACCATGACATCGGGGAATCAGGCCAACGTTCCACTTCTAAAGCGATAATAGTCATATATCCGATTATTTTATGCGCGTACGCCGCATCGCGATTCGGAAATTCCGCGAAATCATCGAGAGAATCCTATCGTTCGGTCCTTGATACCTTCGAGCGTGTGCGCGGTATGATTTTAATTATCTACTTTAAAGCACATTAAAATCTGTACTTCAGCCGTTGTAGAGGAGGACAAGACTATTCGGAACCCTGGGTAACTCGAAACCTCGCTATATCTCGAATACTGCATTACCGAATATCAAACTGGATTTTATATGGATCTATAGGTTGCGTCTTTTTAGCCTGACATTTATGGTTATATGACGCTTATATTCGGTAATGCAGAATTTGAGATATAGTGAGGGTTCCGAGTTGCCCCAGGTTCCAAATAGCCCCGTCCTCCCCTACAAATATTATATATGAAGGAACGAGATGAAGCGTAAAGGACGTATATTTTTCTGTTTATTCTTGCATTTCTTGTGAACGCAGTCACACGAGATTATATTTATTGTTAGTGGCGTCGATAGGGACTAACGAATCTCTCGGATTACGAGAGAGAGACAGGCAGAGTTTGTCGTACGTTTTTCAGCGGTGTGCACCTGCACCTGGTGCCTGGCTTCGGTTGTTCGATAATCGAGGTACAAAGGCCATCGCCCCTCTCCCTCCCCGAGAACATATCTAGGCCACCGACACTACCAACGTTTACCAGTAATCGCCATTGTCGTTGCACATCCGACTACAAAGCAGCTGTTTCTCGCACTTGCAGGAACGATATACATATATACAGGATGTCCCCGTATAAGTGGCCACCCCTTTTTATTTCGTAAACTAATAGAGATAGACCTAATAAATATAATATCAAATTAAACGGCTCTAACTAAACTTTATTGTGAGCACAGTGACACTTAGAAATATTATCTATGTTAAAGAGCGGAAAGACATGATTAATTTTTGCACGGTAAAGTAACAATTTTAATGTGATAAAAGTTGTAGCGTTCTTTTTAACGAATACAACGATGTATA